CCGGAGTCTGGGAATTTGATACATTACTCAAATCTCATCCCGAAGTCTATGATACTCACCACTTCTATCACGCTGACAGGAGCCGAAGGTAACGGAGGGACAGCTTCATATACGTAACCTTTGCGGGCTCTTTTGGCTGAGTTGGCATTTTCCACCTTAAAAGATAGGAGGTGGGATCCCTACACTACAAAGGGCTTAACTTACTTGATCAGATGCCTTTTCCCTTCGTCGCTTTGGTGCCGATGCTTTTGCAGTTTTAGCCTTATGAGATTTTGTGGTTCGTACTGGCGCTTTCGGAGGAGCCTTTGCAGGAGCTTTAGCAGGAGCTTTTGGTGAAGCTTTTGAGGTAAAAGCAGCGTTCTTGCAAGCTCTACTAAGTGGTGCTGGCTGCTCCACTGCCGTGCATGCTGGTGAGCTTGAGCTCTGTAATGCTGTTCGATTTCCTCTGGAGTACTACTGGATCACGATGACACTATGACATTGGTAACGTTTCAATATAAACAGTTAAAATGTATTTACAAGTGAAAAATGATCAGCAAAATTCTTCAGAAGCCTGAAGACCAAGTTGAAAATAAACAAGAACATTTATGGCAGCGCGCTTACCTTCGTTTTACTAGTGCTTGGAGTAGCTGCCGTTTTCTTTCGTGCTGTTGCTCGTTGCCGTCGCCTGCTCCTCGAACTCATAGTTGTTCCAATTTCACCATTCACTTGCTCGACTTCTTGCTTTTCTTCAGAAGGCACATGCTGCGCCGATGTACCCTCGAGCAAATCTGTAGTATAGCCAAATTAGTTCTGTATTCTCACTGGCATAACAAAGTGCATTAAAATCGTTCTGAACATAGATTATTAAATGCAACTTTAATGTCCCATTGTCTCTGGTGTACTGCAACCAATTTTTTATTTGAGAAAAGAAAATCCCGCTTAAAAATACACATTGTCTATGAACGTAAATCCTTCATGTTGCTACATTCAATAATAAGCACAGAAAGCGTTGGAGTAGCCGTAGTACGGTCGATGGCGAACAATGCAGACTAGCTCACGCATGATAGTACATATATGCGATCACAGTTCATATAATGT